CATTTAGAAAAAAACTGTGACAGTTTAAACCTTGGAAGAACCTTTAGTTTCATGACAATAACTGTTATTTAGAAGAAAAGAAATGGAGGATTTTAGAACACCAATTATTTTTATTTAATTTTATTGAAAGACCACCCACTGATCATTATTATGACAGCAGCAGAAAACAGTCCATGTGGTGAATACTTTCTTTGGGGTCTGTGTAAGAAAAGCTCACCTGACTTTGATGGTGATCTGATACGACTTCTCCACATCTGCTGGAGGTTTTTCTTGTACCAAAACAAAACAAAACAAAAAAATTAATAAAATAAAAAATAAAAAAAAAACAAAGAAAAAAGATCAACCAATACAGTTTTTCTTTTTCTTTTTTTTTCAGACTGAGAATAAATACAAAAGATTTATTTATTTTTTATACTTAGAAAATAGCACATACATAATCTTTTTTGTCGATAATATTACAATAATTTTATAAAACTAAAAGAATATGTTTGATTTTTGATGCATTTCTTTTTCTTCAGTTGTTTCAAAAATAAAGTTTATTAAATCCAGTTTTTAAATCCAGTTTACAGCATCCTAAATACTGCTCTTTTTGTTGTGGTTCTTGATTAAATGTTCATTTAAGATGGGTTTTTCTGATTTTATACTTATGTTGCATTATTCTCTGCTTATGTTTCTAAGCTTAACATTTATCTAATTTTAGATCTACCATATATTTCATAAGTGACAGGACAACAGAATATACTTTTGCTAAAATCAACAAAACTGGTCACTAGTATGTTGAGTTACCGCTGGATTCGTTAATGTCGACACTGAGCTCAAAGTCCTTGCAGGGTTCTTTCTCCTCCACCTCATGCAGCTGGTTGTAATGAGTCATAACCTTAGCAGAAACAGTGACAGAAATGTTACAATAAAAAAGACATCAAAAGATGATAAACTTAAAAGTAGGTTCTAAATTTTTAAAGCACAACTTAACAGGAAACATAATTTTCTGTAGAGCAGTATTACCAAACTTCTGGAGTCTCACCTTGTTATAAACTCTGAATTTTTAGGATTGTTCAGTTTAGTTTGCAAATGATTATATTTTTAAAATATATAAAAAAGCCACTTCAAGAATGTCTGTTACCTCTAGTATTCCCTGTCCGTTCCCTTGAGCCACCACTTCCAAATCAGCCCCAGCTGGCAACTAAACAGGAGAAAAAAGCATCAGAGAAGCAGATTAAAACTGAATGATCTTCTTCTAATTAATGCTGTAGAGTTCTACAGACCCAAAACATCCTCCATACTCACAGTGTGAAGTTAAAAGACCCTAGGGTTCTAACTCTGTGGGCTCATGTGTAACAACAACTCACCCTGGAGGAGCGAGCAGCGTAGGCGGTGTTGGGGTTAAAATAGTACCGGGCGTCTTTGCGTCCCGCCATCCTGATGTCCACGTTCAGACTGAGGTCATCAGGAGGTGGCTTGTTGCTCATGTACTCTGACAGAGCATGAAGCACCACCATAGTGGACTGCGAGAGCAAAGACAAGAAAAACAGAAAAGTATGACCTGGGTCTGAACAGGTCAGGCCTTACAATGCGAAAAGGCTTATAAAGGACAGTGGGTTAGCAGTACTGAAAAAAAAGGCTACTTCAATAAAGTCCCGTCTCCACGGGTGTGCCTGTATGCAGATCTCTTCTTTCAGCCTCGGACAAATGGGTCTCCATTTCCAGTTCCAATTAAAAAGAAAAGTCAGACTCAGACAGTAAAAACAAAACCGTTTTTTTAACCAAGACTGCTTAAAGGCACAGTGTGTAGGATTTGTTGTTTTCAGCGGCATCTAGTGGTTGAGTGGTTAAATCATCCTCCCTGGTCCTCCCCCCACCCCCACCCCCCGCTTCCAAACACAAAGGAGTTGCTACGGTGTCTCTCAGGTGTCAAAAACCTTTGATAATTCCAACCGTGATGTCTACCAGCAGCTTCAGGGCTAGTGATGTTTCAAGTGGTAAGATTATGAGCTTTAATAAGTAAAATTATCCCAGCTACAATGACAGACAACAAATATTACATTTATAGTATTACAACTAAAACCGTTTTTGATGCCACCACCGCAGTTTGTCCTCCATGAGCCTTCGTAGACAAGATGGCGGTGCAAGATGGCGGCCGCCTGTGGTGGCGACCCGTGACCATGGAGATATAAACAGCTTTTTATAAAGTAATAAAACAAGGTCTTTGTCTGCAATGATTAGACATGTTTTTTATTATTGTCATTAGTGATTATCTCAGTTTCGGCTAAAAGAATTGACAAATCCTACACACTGTGCCTTTAAATCAATACAATACTAGGTACTTCCTTGAATAAGTAGCATCTCATTGTCTTGTGATTTTGGTCTTGTTTGTCAGATAACAGGGACCACAATCCCTTATGTTTATTAAATATGTTTATTATGAGCAAAGATTTAGGAAACTGAAGGCGAGTCTGCGATTGGAAGGTTGCCGGTCGAATCCCGTTACATCAAAATTTTGTTGGGAGAAGTGAAGCACCCACATCTTCCTGTACCCTCATTTGCCCCACTCTGGACCCTTGAGCAAGGCCCCTAACAACTTCACCTGCTCCACCAGGCGCCCTATATGGCAGCCCCCTTCTCCCTATACGTATGTGGACTGTGGTAGCTCAGGGATCTGTGGTTGCATCAGGAAAGGAATCCGGCATAAAACTATTGCAAAATCTTTATGCGTGTTTGCTCACTGTAGTGAGCCCTGGAGAAGGGAGCAACAGAAAGACGAAAGAATAAAAAAAAGGCAAAGAAATGTTTTGGAGGTGACAGACCCCCACTCTGTTGATACCTGAGTTGAACCGAAACCACCACCTCTTCTTCTCTGGTTGTTCAGCCATTTGAAGGGAGCTTCAGCTTCTTCCATGAGTTCCAGTTTTACCAAAGCCAACAGAGCGTAGCCAGTCGCTTCCAGTGTGAACAAAGGATTATTCCTGTCAGGCCAGTGACTCTTGTCTAAACGTGGGAGAAGGAAAGAGAGGAGCCTGTTCAAAAGGTCACAGTTGGACATGCACAAAAAGGCTCTTTAAACACAATATTTCCAATTGAGACATGAAGTTTTTAATGAGACAGCTCTAATTTATGTGAAACTGCATCAGTGGGCCCATAAAACAGCTACCTGGAGATGCTGCTTGGAGTAAAGTCTGATGGAGGTGGTCGGGCTTTCCCAGCAAAGACAAAGCATAAGAAGCGATGGCCACAGTGTACGGTCTCCTTCCTTGTGTTAAAAGAGCTTTTATTAAGAACTGCGAGGTCCACTGGCTCGCTCTCTACAAGAAGCAAAAAGAAGATTTTACAATTGTTACCAATCATATCAAATCAGGGATTAAGTTGGGTTTGGTCAAACTGAAATAAGCACATTTTTAGAGTCCTGACTTTATAAGCTAACTGAATTATCCTGATATCATGAGCAGTGCCTGAAATATGGTGTATTTTAGTGTACTTAATGAGGGTTTATTGGCATAAAATGAAAGAGGAAGCTTCAGACTATATTTAGATATTGGTATTTCCCAGCTGGCAATGAAAATGAATGTAGCTTTGCTGTGGCACAGAAAAGTTTTAGAGAAGAATTTTAGGTTTTTCTGATCAAAATTGTTAGTTTTTAGTACTGCTCAAAAAAGGGCTTTAAAACTTTTCTTAGGATTAGAATTTGGACATTTCCTTCACAGAATCCACAGATACAGTAAGGTATTCAACATATTTTGACAAAATCCAATTATTGCAAATTTTTTTCTACCAATGCACCATAGCTGCTTATACAGTATCTCACTACTCTACTTACTACTGTATCCTTGGTTTGATGTGACAGGTCACAATTATTAAGCATGCAAACTAATAATAAAATAAATATAAAAGCCAAATCACATTTTGGTATCAATAAGATTAGACAATATTCTGCCAACTTTCCAATTACTTCTGGAATGATATATAAACAGAACATGAAGGTGGAATCTGTGAGACATGGTTTTATCAATTATTATTTGTATTAATTAATTATGAGGTCACTGAGGTAGTTAAAAAGCTCCACGACGGCAGGGCTCAAGGTGTGGATGAGATCCGCCCGGAGTTCCTCAAGGCTCTGGATGTTGTGGGGCTGTCCTGGTTGACACGCCGTGAAACACTGGACCAACTCTTTACCCTCACTAGGGTCCTTGACGGGTCATGGGAGTTTGCTAATCCTGTCTACATGTGTTTTGTGGACTTGGAGAAGGTATTTGACCGTGTTCCCTCGAGGTACACTGTGTGGGGGTGCTACTTGAGCATGGGATTGTGGGCCCGTTGTTATGGGCCATTTTATACAAGCAGTGTGACAGTTTGGTTTGTATTGCTGGTAGCAAGTCGGACCCGTTCAGAGTGGGAGTTAGACTCTACCAGTGCTGCCCTTTGTTACCAATTCTGTTCATAACTTACATGGACAGAATTTCTCAGTGCAGCCAGGGGGCGGAGGGAGTCTGATTCGCTGGCCTCAGGATTTCATCTCTGTTGTTTGCAGATGATGTGGTTCTGTTGGTGTCACTGTGCCAGGATCTTCAGCTCTCACTGGAGAAGTTTGCAGCTGAGTGTGAAGCAGCTGGGATGAGGATCAGCACCTCCAAATCTGAGTCCATGGACCTCATTTGGAAAAGGGTGAATTGCTCTCTCCGGGTTGGGGGTGAAGTTCTGCCTCAAGTGGAGAAGTTCAAGTATCTTGGTGTTTTTTTCATGGGTTAGGTAAGAATGGAGTGGAGATTGAAAGATGGATCGGTGCAGCTTCCGCAGTTTTGCGGACTCTATACCAGTCTGTTGTGGTGAAGAGGGAGCTGAGCTGTGAAGTGACGCTCTCTGTTTACCGATCAGTCTACGTTCCTACCCTCACCTATGGTCACAAATTTTGGGTAGTGACAGAAACAACAAGATCGTGGATACAAGTGGTCGAAAGGAGTTTTCTCCGCAGGGTAGCTGAACTCTCCTTTAGAGATAGGGTAATCCGGGAGAGACTCAGGTAAAGCTGATGCTCCTCCACATCGAGAGGAGCCAGTTGAGGTGGTTTGGGCAAGGGTGCCTTCTGGATGACTCCCTAGGGAGGTGCTTCAGACGTGTCCAACTGGGAGGAGACCCAGAGAAAGACCCAGAACACACGGCCTGGGAACACCTTGGAGTCCTCCCAGAGGAGCTGGAAGAGGTGGTTGGGGAAAGAGAGGTCTGGGCTTCCCTGCTCAACCTGCTGCCCCTGCGACCTGACTTCGGAGAAAGCCGAAGATATTGCATTATTTGTAAATGAATGAGTCTTTAAGTTTAATGTAAAACAAATTAGTTTGTCTTTAATTATCTATTTTACTACAAGGCATTGTATTGACATCCATAAACAATAATTAGTGCAAGTGTTGTAAGTAAAGTTTGACAATTTACATAAAATATGACTTCATCAAGAGGCTAAAGTCCTGATTAGTGATAAACATTTTTTATTTTATACTCAAGTTAGTTACATCCAGGGCTCAGGATGGTATGAGTGCATTAGTTTTGTTTTTATCTTGTTCGCACATAATTAAATATATCAGGAACAGCTCTTCAGTTCCAGACAATTAATAGCACAGTTTTCAAGTAATAGAAAAAGTCAAATAAAAAGAAGGTATTAAATAAAACAAAAAAAATAATACATTTGTGTGTGTGAATGTGTGGGATTTACCTTGACATCCACGCCTGAGGTGGTGCAGCTGATCCCTGCCTGCTTGGCTTCAGCAAGAGCGATGTGGACAAAGGCTGTCAGCGTGATCTCTGGGTCGTCACCACGAAGACCGCCCTGGAGACAGAGACAGGAAACAAAGAGTTTTAATCAGAGCCTTAAATCTTTGATGCAACAGGTCACAGCATCGCTACTTTCCATCCGTCCTCTCTACCCACTCTCCAATTCATATGGGTCTGATGCAGCTGACATAAACTGAAGAAAATAATATTTTCTGGTTATTTTTTCCCTTTTGAGCTTGAAATGCAAAATTTAAAGAACATTGGGCCTCATGCAAGAACCGTTCGTATGCACAGATTTGTTCTTAAATTGTGCGTACGAGTGATTTAGGAGAATTTGTGGCATTCACCAATGTTTTCTTATTCTAAGACTTTTTTCAGATACGAACAAAATTCACGAGTGGTCCAGACCTGTCGTATGTTTTACGAGCAGTCAGTCTGCTGTTATCCAGACGAGTTTTCCTCCCTAATAACTTTATATTTCGTTAGTTTGAAGATATTTTGAGTTGAAAATAAATGACACTCTATAATTATCTTGACTATAGGCTATTCTGCTTGAATCACAGTTATAATTTTAAATGTAATAATTTAGACTAACAATACAAATTGTCCGTCCGGCCGGCTTATCCGCTATCGGGTCGCGGGGGCAGCAGCAGAGAGACCCAGACTTCCCTCTCCCCAGCGACAGTTTCCAGCTCGTCCTGGGGAACTCCGAGACATTCCCAGGCCAGAGGGGATACATGATCCCTCCGATGGGTCCTTGATTTTCTCCAAAGTGCCAGATATATTTTGAAAACATTTTAAAATGCTTATTTCAGAACCGCAACTGAGACCACTTGAAACCGCACGTGGAGGGTGGGGGAGGGGTGGTACGGTGCGCAACGGTGTGGCTTCTGAATAAATGAAAATGATTTAACACAGTTGTTTATACWTTTAGCAGCTCTTTTTATTCCACAGCTGACCTGCTAAAAATGACAGATTTTCTTTTCTGGATCTCTGACAGACGGACTTCAATCTCTGAACTCGTAAAGTTCTTCTTTTTAATTATCGCTGTCATTTTCATGAATGGACACTTCCATGTATCTGAGGCAGGAAACATAGCCTTATATGGTGTTTTTGGGGTGGTAATTATGCTAATCTCCTCTCGCGTGCACGAGCAGCTGGATACGAACAGGTGAAATTTACGCAGCTCATTTACACACTTTTCATGAAGATAGAAGATATTGTTGAATCTGACGTGGCATGTTCGTAAGAACCCTTCGTATGAACAAAAGTAAGAGAAATTTAGGATACGAATACGAACATGTTCTTCCATTGTCTGATTTTCTCCTGCACGTCTTTTTTTTTCAGCTTAAACTCTATGATATGAAAGAATTCTCATTAAACCACTTGATAAATGTAGCTTAAACAGTTCAGAAAGACTTTTTTTCAATCCATTAAAATAGCGTGGTAAACAAGCAGAGCAACGTGTTTAAAATATGTATGTGCGCATGTATCTGTGGCTCACAGTCATTGTAGTGGAGTAAACAGGGTTGTCCTCTTTGTAAAGTCCTTTATGATGCTGGAGTTTGTTGTTCACCAGGTACAGCAGAGGGTCACAGATTTGCTGCTCATCTATGCCGACCATGGAGTAGGCCATGGAGAACACCTTCACAACATACGCTGTGATCCTGGAAGTCATTTAAACTCAAGTTAGCAAATGTCCGAACACAAATAAAAACAATTATGCTTTGATGTAACTGTTTAAATGTTAATTAAAAAATCTTATTATTAGATTTTCCACTTGTAATCTGTTTAAAAAATAATATTTACAAACTCACAAGTTTGTTGTAGAAATATAAAATATAAAATTAAATTTATAGTACCATGTACTTGCGCCTTCACCCCTGTAAGGTGGATAAGAGCCATCACTTCGTCTGTATGCCAGCTGGTTCTCGTAGCCTTAAAAAAAAGTCAAATTAAAGTTTTAGCATGTCTTTAAAAAGCAGCATATCCCCAGTCTATGTCTGTGTCCTGCTACAACCAAACCAAATTTAAGGTCAGTTAGGGAGGATCCAAAACTAATCAGCTGTATGTTTCATGTAAAGCATCCAGTGGTTCTTGAAATGCTGTATTTTGCTTACAGACATTTGGGCATTTACATGATGACCTGCTTTTTATGGTGATGAGCAGTGACAACTGAAAGACATGGTAGAAAAGAACAAAACATTTTAAATTATTGCTGATGAAAAAAAAAAAAATTAATAATAGTGTAATGGAAAAATAACTTATCTTCCTTTTCAAATGCTCCACTGACCTGTGTTGCTGACCCAAATGGCACCCAGTTTTGTATGATGCCATTGTGTTGATTTTACTTCAGTATTTATTTTCTGTCCTCTCTAGATAGTCACCCCTACGGGGACAATTTGTCAGAACAGGTGTTCTGTTTTTGTCAGTTTATGTAATCATAGAGACATCAAGTATAAAAGGGCTTTCAAACTTTGATTCTTTGCACAACTAGTTTGGCGCAGGACTGTTTTCTGACCTGTGTTAAGTTTTTGTGCCTTGCAGTTGCAATAAAACTCAGACGACCATTCTACAAAGTGCTTCTTTATTTTGTGATCATCTGTTTCTGTCCTTGTTAAATTAAGTTTTACACGACAATAGTTCATCTAAAACCGGGGTGCCCAAACATTTTCCCCGAGGGGGCCAAAATGAAAATCTATCCATGGCTGCGGGCCAAATGCAGTTATATAATACATGAAATACAGATACTTTTTTAAGTAAAGTCCTTTATTTTTAACGATTAAGCTGTGCAATGGCCCTCTTTTGTTTTAGTTTGTGCTCTTGGAGAAAGTCTGCCATACGCTCAAGTAGCAAAGGCTCATGGGACATTTCATAAATTGATAAAATATGAGTTTTTGTGGCCTTATAAAGTGTGAAAATCTACATGTGGGGTTAAATCTGATCTAAATATTTCTTGTCGTCATTTCATGTTTCATGTTTAATCCTAATAAATCAAAGATAAAGTCAGAACCATGAAAACTACCTTCACCACAGCCCTTTTATAGTCATTTGACCAATGGAAACACTGTACCTATAGGATTACAGGTTACAACCTTGTAACTTTGGCAACTGTTGGTGGGCCAAATCAAATGGTTTGGCAGGCCAAATTTGGCCCGCGGGCCCCACTTTGGGCTCCTCTGATCTAAAAGCTTGTCATCTACAAGCTTTTATTCCACAAATCTATCATCCTTACTTATTTAGCCAAAGTTCTAATAACAACTATAATGATTTGTTCATCCAGTTGAGCGTCCATTTATATGATATCAGTTTGAACATTAATTCAGCTGTAAGTTGATCAACAAACACAACTAGTTAATTATCAATATTACTCATTTATCAGTCAATGTATCATTTGTAAAAACTAATCATCGATGCATTTATTGGCACATTTTTTTCTATCAACACCAAATCGATCTGTTCGTCTACAAATATTCAGAAAGCCTGTTTCATCGACAAGTTTATAATATCCTAAGTTTAACTGAAGTGAATCTTTTTTGTCCCTATTATTTTACTGTAGACGTTCTGCCTTTGATTCTAACACTCAGTAGAAACAACATCTCACTGCTGTCCAACCTCTCTTGATGTATCGGAGAGCCTCGGCCCTGCGATCCACCCCGACAGCCTCCCAGTTTTTGGTCCGGTCCAGGTACAGAGCGGCAATAAGAGGCAGAGTTATGGTGGCCAAGTTCTGCTCCACACAACCACCAGGCATCTGGATCAGAGAGGCCAACGAGTCCTCGCTGATGGAGTTATCGATGCTGTCTGCCAGTATGTTTCCTGGAGAGAAGTGGAGAAGGGAATTCAGGAACTCTCTTTGCTTTTTTTAATATGAAGATTTGTTTATTATCATTATCCCTGCCGTGTCTGTGACTCACCTCTAACATTGATGAACGTTTCGGGCTCAGAGTTTGGAACCACTGACTCCAGTTCGACTTTGCCAACACGAACTGTTTGAGTTCCTGCAGGACATCAGGTGTTTTTGTTCATTAAAGATAAGTTTCTGGAAAAACGTTTTAGGAACTAAACAATTCTAGACAAAACCCCGAAAAAGAAAGAAAAAATGAATTAGACAGTTTATAATAAGGGAAAATTGTTAACAGTTTTAACTTTTTTGTAACTTCACTTTAAAAGACAGCAGAAACCCCATTAATAAAAGGTAAATAAGCCAACTGAATCTGAAACCTGCAGAAAATACTGAAAAACTCACAAATCTGGTATTTTATGCTGTTTGTAAAAAATATAATAATTAGGGCTGTCAAATGATTAATATTTTAATCCCAAAGTAGCTGTGAATTAATCATGATTAATAATATACATTTATACAATAAAATGCATTTCTATTGCATATTGATAAAATAAATTACTTGAGTTATTAAATAGTTTTTAATGTTTTTATTTAGAAAACAAAATCGATGCTTAGACATGATTTTTTTTTACTTAAAACAGGACCTAAAAATGCTCCAAACATATTTGAGTCAGTTAAATTTTGTGCAGAATAATGAGGTTAAATCAAGAATTCAAGGATTTTCAATCCAAATGAGTACTACATGAGGAATGAAAGATAGATACTAAGGTCACAGTTGTCATCAAAACATAAATAAATAAAATAAAATAAGCCATAAGAAGACAAAAAGAATAAAACTGTGCATAAAGTGTTACACATGGAGGTTTTTTTTATTTTATTTTATTTATTTAACCTTTATTTATCAGGTAAACTGTTTGAGAATCACTTCTCATTTACAAACATGACCTGGCACTGAGTGCATTGCAATATACAAACCTACATATCCAGCCATAGTAAAGTGATTGTAAATTTTAATCGGGATTAATCTATGTCCATGCAGCACTAAAATTAATCAGTTAACTCAATTAATTTCACAGCCCTAAAAATAATAATAATAATAATAAATGTGTGATCATACCTCCTTGAGCCGATGGATTCAGTACTGTACTCCAAACCTTAGTCTTCTGCACTCCGTCCAGCTGTATGTGTCATGAAAAGACTAATTATACAAGTTTACCTGAACACGATAAACTTGTAAACTCAAAACACAGATGTCCTGATGCATCTCAGTAATCCAGGTAAAAAATCTAAAGAAAAAAAATTGTATAGGTCCTCTGGACGGGTTCTTCTCTAATGAAACGTTTCGTCTCTCCTCCAAGAGACTTCTTCAGTCTGAGAGTTTCAGGCAAAATTCAGGCTTTTAAGCACTGCCTGCATGTGACTGATACTCACATCACATGGCTATTGTTGACACCTAATTAACACCCATTGTTAACGGGGTGGAGTGATACTGGCAATAGCAGCACTGTAGTAGGGGGACAACTGAAAACGGAGGCCTCCACCTCTGTTTAATGATGGACGGTCTTTCTTCACAAAAATGGCTTCTTTTACTCCTCTCTCAAACCAACGTTCCTCCCTATGAGGATGTTCTCATTGTTGATAGAGAGGAACGTTGGTTTGAGAGAGGAGTAAAAGAAGCCATTTTTGTGAAGAAAGACCGTCCATCATTAAACAGAGGTGGGGGCCTCCGTTTTCAGCTGTGGGGGCCTCCGTTTTCAGCTGTCCCCCTCCTACAGTGCTGCCATTGGCAGTATCACTCCACCCCCTGTTAACAATAGGTATTAATTAGGTGTGAACGATAGCCATGTGATGTGAGTATCAGTCACATGGAGGCAGGACTCAAAAGCCTGAATTTTGCCTGAAACTCTCAGACTGAAGAAGTCTCTTGGAAGAGAGACGAAACGTTTCATTAAAGAAGAACCCGTCCAGAGGACCTATACAATTTTTTTCCTTTCAAAACAACAGATCCTGTTATTTTATTAGCTAATCTATTCTAGCAGCAAACTCTCAATAAAACCTTGCAGACTCACCACCACCCTGAGAGGCTTCTGGACACGGTCTCTCCCCGTCATGTCTCGGTCAAACACCAGCACCTCCAGCGGAAGTTTCCCCACCACCAGCGGCACGATGGTATAAGGCACCGCTACAGAGGAGCCGGCCGTCACTCGCACTTGCTGCGTGTGTCTGTCCTTAAAGGCAACACTGCACACGTCTTCTGTCTTCATCAGCATCACCCTTACCTGAGTGGACAGCAGCCGATAAAGCGTCAGCGTCAACGTGTCCTTATCGGAGGAAAAGGTTGCGAAAAGAAGTCGACCGTCTTACTTCCAGGTCTTCGTAACCGTAGTTGTAGACCACAGCTTTAATCTCAATTTGCTCGTTCCTCGCCACGGAATAAGGCAGCTTCAGGTCAACAAAGAAATTCTTCCAGGCTCTGAAATTATACGGCTCCGCAACACAGAAACCTAAAATCAGAAATAATTTCAGTTTTTCTCAAATTAAACTGGCAACATGTTATTTTTAAAAGCAAAATGGGGATCTTTTGGTCTGACTTTAAAGCTACCGTGTTTTAAAGTTTTAACAGGGCAATAAATGGGGATTGTTAAATGTAATTGTACGATTATGTAATTATTGCAGGGCTAACAGGTGTTCAGTGTTTGCAGTGGCGGGCAGCACTAATCTAGTTCCACTAGCCCTAAAGCACTAACTCAAATATTTAGGTTCCCTAATTCCAAAGCACTAACACAATGAAAATTTTAGCTAAAGCTAATTCTAAAGCACTAAAATAACCCAGTCAACCCATGACCATTCTTCAAGAGACAACCTGAGTCACATATTGTCATGTTGCTCTCTTAATACTTATCATTGACATTCCACAGCTGGATTTGAGTTCATATATTGTTAATATATTGTCACCTGGTGGATAGGTGACACATAAACAACATTGATCAATAACATTTATAGACATCAGTTAGTGCTTCTAAATTTAGCTTCTAAATTCGGCAAGTGCTAATCCACTAATAAATTTTAAAATTAGCAAAAGCCCTAAAGCACTAATCAGGAAAATAGCTCCCCTATTAGTGCTTTAGGGGAACTGT